GGGGGGGGGGAATGCACCAAACAATGCTGATCTTTGGGTGCCTTGTGTGCGTAAAAACGCACAGGTCTGGCTTTGAAAATGTTCCATCAGGAGAAACGATCTGGAGGAATCGAGGGAAAAAGAAAGGGGATCTAGGGTTGTGTGGTTGTGTATCTGTGTGTGTTTGTGTGTGTGTGTGTCTTGGAGGAGTGTCTTTCTTTCCCTCCTCTCCAGCGCTGCTTTGCTTTTTGGATGGTCGCCTTTCTCGCTTGGCTTCTTGGAATGGAGCCATCCAGGGCCTCCTCGATGGTGTTGCCTTCTGTTGTGGGTCTTGTTGTCGTTGTGAAGGAGGCTGGTTTGTGGTGGGTTGGTGGTGTTGTCACAGGACGCAACCCCGAACGCCTCCCCTTTAATAATAAAAACCTTACAAGAAAAGATTTGCAAAGGATCTTGGAGAAAAAAAAAAAGGTTGGGAGTCAGAGTGAGCCAGATTGTGCTTTGGGAGACATAGTTGTCCAGGGGGAGGGAGAGTGAGTTTGATGAGGAAGGAGGGAAGGGGGGGCTGGAGTGGGAAATCATCCTGGGATGGATGAAAGTGAGTTAGGCAGAGATGGAAGTAAATCATCTTGGAATCCTGGAATCAATCTTTCTTTCTTTCTTTCTTTCTTTCTTTCTTTCTTTCTTTCTTTCTTTCTTTCTTTTTCTCCAAGTCTTTGGAAGTTGGCATTGGGCGGAGAGAGAGACTGTGAACCTCGAGGAGGAGGGAAGGAAAGAGGGGAGGGAAAACCCGGCAGACTTTGGGAAGCTTTGCGCAGGAAAGCAAAAGAAAGAAAGAAAGAAAGAAAGAAAGAAAGAGGGAAAGGAGGAGTGTGAGCAGGCCTGAAAGTCTTGCGAAACGCCGCCCTTTCCCTTTCTCTTTCCCTCCCCAACTCCAGGAGCCTTGGGGTGTCCCACCATTGGAAGAAAGTTGTCTTTTCTTCTCTTTTAAAAAGAAAATGTGATGAAAATGGGTTTCCCAGGAGGCACTTTTTTCTTCTTCTTTCCAAACTGGCTGGAAGTTTGGGGCCTCCTCCGAGTCCATTTTAGGAATAGAAAAAGTCTATTATTGTACTTTGAAAAAAAAGTATATTATTGTACATAAACAAGCATGGACACAGAGTAGCAAAGCTGGGAAAGAAAGCAAAGTAACTAATCTCACACAATGTTGGGTTACAATTGGAGAGTTAGGATCATCTTCTAGGATTCTATATTTTTTAATTGTATTTTTATTTTTTATTTTTAAAAAGTGGTTTTTAGCAATTAAAAAAGAGACCGTTCTTTTTTGGTAGGGAAGAAGCATGTTTAGAACAGAGTCCCTTCTTTTTGTGGAAATATGGATCTGTGACTGTTCCTTTTGTTTTTTTGCTCCTGACTCCCAGGGTTTGGCCAAAAGGATTTGTCTGAAAGTATATTGCCTGCTTTCTGGGATTATATATGCTGTCTGGCTTCTCTCCCTCCCTCCCTCCTTCCCCCTATTTTTGCTTTAACCCTTTACATTAACTCTTCTCCTCCTGTCCACCCTTGAAACACCTCTGTCTGGAATTGCTTTGGTTAAGGAGACCAGGAGGATGGGACATGCAGTCATGGTCAAGTTGCCAGATCTCAGTGAGGCCTGTTTGTGGATCTCTCATCAGCCCTTGTCCTTCTAGTGGGATTTCCCCATCTCTCCTTTGCTTTCCCCTGTTCGCTGTTTTCACCTGCTTACCTCGCCTCCATTCCTGTTCTTTCTCAATGTTTTGAGTCATGTTCCGGCTTGCTGGCGACTCATGGTTTGCCAGTGGCCGTTGGTTAGTTGCTTTCGTAGTTTTGTTCTGACTTTAATCGACGTCGAAAGATGCCTGGCTGGCATTTCTCCATCTCAGACTGCAGCTCATCTTTGTGGCTTTCTACAGGCAGCCAGCGGGGTGAAAAGTGACCCTGATTTGGACTACGATGCCCATAATCCCCTAGCTCCTTCTATTGGAGGAAGATTGACTCAGAGCACAATTGGTGCTGCAGTTGGGGGGAAGAGTCTTCTATGGGGGAACAAGGGCCAGAATGACCTGACCAATATTTTAAAAAGTTAACTTTGGGGTTTGCGACTTCCAGTGACCCCCCATCCAGGTTGGAAATGTTAATATTTGGGGGTAACTCCCATGTGGATCACCGACTTAAGCAAATGTGTAAAAAGTACAATCTCTGGCATAATGCTCTACAAGTCTCCCTGCACTGCAAGCCCTATGAGGGCAGAGACCTGATTCCCTTTTGCTTAAGAAGCAGTGCCTGCAGCATCAAAGGTACTTGTCATTTTTGTTGTTGTGTGCCGTCAAGTCATTTCCAACTTATGGCGACTCTATGGGGGGGCACCATGGGGTTTTCTTGGCAAGATTTGTTCAGAGGAGGTTTGCCATTGCCTTCCCCTGAGGCTGAGAGAGTATAACTTAAAAGATGTGACATGACTGCTGATAATAAAACGAAACCAGGAGTTTTCTGCTGAGTGAGGCCGCCATGCTGCCTTCTGAAATACACAGTTGGAAGACAAATCACTGCGATACCTGAATGGCAAGGAGCCCTTAGTGTGTTGAAAGGCAGAATTATTCCTAAATAGTTGCATTGTGTGTGCGTGGTGTGCCTTCAAGTCTTTCCTGACTTATGGCGACCCTAAGGAGACCCTATCATGTTTTTTTTTTTTTTTGTGGCAAGATTTGTTCAGAGGAGATTTGTCATTGCCTTCATCTGAGGCTGAGAGTGTGTGACTTGCCCAAGGTCACCCACTAGGTTTCATGGCTGAGCTGGGAATCGAACCCTGGCCTCCAGAGTTGTAGTCCAGCAACTGAAGCACTGCAACACACTGGCTCTGGCATTTGTCTGCTAGCAAAAGGTCTTGGTGCATGTGTCACTTTATTTTGGCAAGGACCGCTACTGAGTTCCAAGCAGGGCCTCCTCGGTGGTTGCTCCCAGACTGTGGAACTCCCTGCTACTGGACACTAAGCCTTCTTTGGTGGCGTTTGGACAACTGTCTGGCTGTTGAAGAAAAGGGCCTTTTCAACAGGATCTGTGTTTGAATTGTTGTGCTTTAAAATGACCTTTAATTTGGTGACCTTTTAGTGTGATGGCTTGTTGAATCATGCTTTCGTATTACAGCCAAACGTGTCTTGATTTGTGTCTTTCCCCCCCAAAGAAATCTGGAATGGAGCTGCCTTTGAGTCCTAGTTGGGGAGGTATGTAAATAAAGTGAAATGAAATGAGCATCAATGAGGACTGAGACACTCAGCATCGGGGACAGGGGACTCAGAAAGCAACAACTGATCATGTCTCCTTCTCTTCTCTTGTCCTCCATAGGTTTAAATGGTAGCTATTCTCTTGTGAGGCTTACCTCTGAGTGTGTGTTTATTTGCATAGTCCCTCCTCCATCATCTGCATAATGATGGCTTGTCCCTTCATCCTACCAGCTGCCTTTCCCTACAAATCCATGGCTATCAATGCTGGCTACATCTAAAATGTAAGCTAAGTACAATAACTTGATCGGAAGGCATCATAGAATCATACAATCATACAATCATAGAGTTGGAAGAGACTCCAAGGGCCATCCAGTCCAACCCCCTGCCATGCAGGAACTCCCAATTAAAGCATCCCTGACAGATGGCCATCCAGCCTCTGCTTAAAAGACCTCCAAGGAAGGAGAAGTGTGAGGTACCAACACTGAGATATTCCGCCTAGTGGTTGTAGTGGTTTTGTGCTTTCAAGTTGTTTCCGACCTAAGGCAAACCTGTCAGAGGATTTTCTTGACAAGATTTATTTTGTCTAGAGGAGGGTTACCTTTACTTTCCTCTGAGGCTGAGAGAGCATCACTTGCCCAAGGTCACCCAGTAGGTTTCGTGGCTGAGCGCAGATTCGAACCCTGGTCTCCAGAATCAAAGTCCAACGTTCAAATCACTGCATCACACTAGCTTTCTGTCTCCCAAGTGTATTCTCTGCCCTTGAAGTCTCTTTTCACACTTTACAATTATGGCACATTGGTCCCCATTTAACTGCTGGGGCTGCATCCTATGGAATCCTGGGATTTGTAGTTGGATGAGCCACTAGAACTATATGCATCAGAGAATTCTAAATATCCCATGTGACTCCAGGATGGAGTCATGACAGTTAAAGGGGATATTGAAATGCTGAAATGGTGAAGTGGGGAGCAGACAGCAGCTAGTATGGAATAAAATTCACTGACAAATTATATAGAATCATAGACTCCTAGAGTTGGAAGGGACTCCAAGGGCTGTCCAGTCCGACCACAACAGATGATCTTTCAGACTAGGTTTAAAAACCTCCAAAGAAGGAGATTCCACCATTTAGCAAGGTAGCATCTTCCATTGTTGAACAGCTTTTACTGTCAGGAGGTTCTCTCTAATGTTTAGGTGGACTATGGGATGAAGTTCACCTCCCCACTTTTTAAACCAGAAAGCAACATTCTCTTTTAGATTGGAGTTGCAGTCTTAAACACAGTCGCCTGGGAGCAAGTCCTGTTGAGAGGCAGTATGGTATAGTTGTTTGAGTTTGCTGGACACATCTGGGAGATCAGTCTTCAAATCCCTCTTTAGGTGTGGGCAAGTCACACTCTCTCAATCTCGGAGGGAGCTCATGGCAACCCATCTCTGAACAAATCTTGCCAAGAAAACCCACAATAGGTTGGGTATCCATAAGCTGGAAACAGGATGAAGGCACAGAGCAACAAAAGTCCTGTTGAATGGTATGGATTGTCCGAACAAGCCTCCGTTAGCTGTTATTTGTCTATTTTTGTGACCTCAGCCTTTCTGTGTTTGCAGGCAAAACAGAAAGCACCATGTCTGTCATGTGAGCTCATTGCTGTTGCCTCTTAAACTGCAGAAAGTAAACAGGCTTTTGGAAGGTCCCTGGGAGACGGTGGAACTAGCGATCATGAAAAATCAGCAAAATGTTGGTTGCATGCAATGCGGTGGGTGTGGTAGAGGAGGGATTCTTGTAAACCTGGTTGTGGAGGTGAGGAGTAGGCTTGCAAGAACATCTGAACAACGCATCAGGTTCAAAAGGATCTCTCCCTGGATTCCCGGTACTTCCGAAAGTTTGGGATTTCCACCAGCTTTTCCTATTCTTTTTTCTTTTCCTTTTTGCTAGAGAATCTTTAGAGTTTGGACATCTGCTCTGAGCAGAGAGCATAGATGGGGATCATGCAACCTTCCAGTGGTTATTGCACTGCAACTTCCAGAAGCCCTATCCAGCTTAGCTAATGGTTAGGGATGCTGGGAACTGAAATTGAGGAACTTCTGGAGGACTACATGGTTCCCACCCTTGTTGTAGAGAAGAAGTAACAGAAGTCCTCTAAAACACTGGACATAAGAGAGTATGTAGAGAGATCTTGTAGCACATTTGAGACTAAGGGGGGGGGGTTGCAGACTGCCAGAAATAGTGCAAATCGAGTCCACTTTAAGGGTTAGGGTTAGGGTTAGGGAATCATGGGAACTGTATTTTATTGTGGCACCAGAGCTCTCTGACAGAGAAGGCTCAATGTCTCAGAAAAAACAACAACAATTCCATGATTCCCTAGCACTAACCCTAACCCTAAAAGTGGACTCATTTTGCACTATTTCTGGCAGTCTGCAACCATAACTGAAAGAAAGATGTTGACAGCATGAGCGTTTGTAGATTTAAGCCTAGTTCCTCAGATGTATTTGGTGGAGTAAGGTGCATCTTCAGTGGTTCCCAAACTTTGGTCCTCTAGATGTTTTGGACTTCAGCTCCCAGAATTCCCAACTTTTGGTTAAGCTGGATGGGGCTTTTGGGAGCTGAAGTCTCAAAAAGCCCAGAGGGCCAAGGTTTGGGAACCATTGATCTACACTGTAGCAATAATGCAGTTTGGCACCACTTTTAAGTAGTGTAGCCCGATCCTATGGAATCCTAGGATTTGTCATTTTACAAGGTTTTTAGCCTTCTCTGTCAAAGAGTGCTGCGGTTTGACCAAACTAGAAAACCCAGGATTCTGTTGGATGGAGCCATGACAGTTAAAGTGCCAAACTAGTGTCTAGTCACTAGTGTGAAATTGCACTATTTCTACATTGTAGAAGCACCCTTATTGTTGTTGTGTACCTTCAAGTCATTTCTGACTTATGGTGACCCTAAGGTGAACCTATCATAGGGTTTTTTGGCAATTTTCTTCATAGGGGGGTTGCCATTGCTATCCTCTGAGGTTGAGAGAGTGTGACTTGCCCAAAGTCAGACAGTGTGTTTCCATAACTGAGTAGGGATTTGATCTTTGGTCTCTTATAGAGTCCTAGTCCAACATTCAAACCACAAT